GAATGGGTATCCTGGTGGAAGGTGGAGCTGGGAAATAAGTGGGTCAAGTCACTGGGCTAAGGGCAGTGACACTCCACAATGAGGGATTTATCTTTCACTGCTCCACATATTGCTTGTCTGTCAGATACTCCTCTAAATCTAAACATTCAGATTAAGATAGACTAGGAAGAAGGATTGGCCATCTACTTCTGAAATAGCAGGCCTCTGAAAACCCTTTGTACAACAGAATACACGTAGACTAACAGAAAGGGCAACATAGGTAGAACTTTCAAATATGGGAATACAAAGGAAGAGGAACAGTTGTAAGCAGACACTAGTGACTAGAACATGGAATGTGAGAACCATGAATGTAGGAAAATCAGAAATTGTGAAGAAAGAAATGAAACGAATAAATACTGACATACTAGGCACTGGAGGTGCATTGATTCAGGGACTGGGGTAATTGGGATGGGTGTGTCAGAGGCAATGCGATTGGCACAGGATAGAGCGGGGTTTAGGGCTGTTGTACATAGGGTTGCTATGAGTCACAAACGACTCGACGGCACGTAAAAACAAACAACAGGCACTGGAGAGATGAGATGGACTGGCATGGGGTATTTTGAGTCAGATGATCATATGATATATTACTCCAGAGACGAAAAGGTGAGGAAAAAAGGTGTTGCTTTCATAGTTAAAAAAGTAATTTCTAGATCAATCTTGAAGTACAACATTGTGAGTGATAGGATTATATGCATACGCTTACAAGGAAGTCCAGTGAATACCACTATCATTCAGATATATGCACAAACAACCAGAGCCAAAGAAGAAGAAATAGATGATTTCTATCAACTTTTACAGTTGGAGATCGATCAAACATGCAATCAAGATGCACTGATAATAATGGGTGACTGGAACACAAAAGTTGGGAACAAAGAAGAAGAATCAGTAGTTGGAAAACATGGGCTTGGTGACAAAAATGAAGCAAGAGATACAATGATTGAATTTTGTACAATCAATGACTTATTAATTGCAAATACGTTTTATAAGAAACATAAACGCAGGCTATACACATGGATTTCACCTGATGGTATGCACAGGAATCAGATCGATTACATCTGTGGAAAAAACCGCTGGAGAAGCTCAATATCAGCTGTGAAAACGAGGCCAGGGG